GAAAACATCCTCCCTTTGGCAACAAAAACATGGCGCAGCATCAATTCCTCTAGTCACACTAGTCTATAAAAACAATTCTATAGACTATTTAATAAAACAAACAAAGAAACATTAGGCTATATAATATAATAAATAATAATAATATGCCATTTAGCAGACGCTTTTATCCAAAGCGACTTACAGTCATGCGTGCATACATTTTTGTGTATGGGTGGTCCCGGGGATCGAACCCACTACCTTGGCGTTACAAGCGCCGTGCTCTACCAGCTGAGCTACAGAGGACCACACTGACATTGTAGCTACAATAAAAGACGGAAAACAATATTAATATGCCATTTAGCAGAAGCTTTTATCCAAAGCGACTTACAGTCATGCGTGCATACATTTTTTTTTTTGTGTATGGGTGGTCCCGGGGATCGAACCCACTACCTTGGCGTTACAAGCGCCGTGCTCTACCAGCTGAGCTACAGAGGACCAATATATTAGCCTAGCCTACTTAGAATCTGCATAATAAAACACCACACTTCAGCATCAAATCATCCAACTGCGATACAGTAAATAATTGGACTTACATAATTGAAATTAAGATAAAATAAATGGCAAACTTGCATGTACAAGCAAATGGCGAAGCTTCGGTGCAGATGAAGCGAGGAAGGTTCGTTCCGTGCGCTCGCTTTGACCGATGTTTTTGTGGTCCGTTGCGCACTTTGCTTTTCCGTATATATTCTGTCATTGTACCCATGTGATAATGTGCGTCTTCTCTCTGTGGAAATTTAAGGGAACTCCGAAGTGGTCAAGTAGAAATCCGACATGCAACAGGTAGGTAGGCCTACAGTTAAGTATGTACCGGGATCGTCCGATCTCCGCATGCTGCAGTATTCCAAAAAGGTGCGCAATCAAATGGCCAAAACAGGAGCAATCAAATGGCCAAAACAGGAGCGCAGTAGACTATACGCAGAGTGATAGGTATCACAAGACGATACATTTTCACACAGCTGCCCACTGCACTGAGGCTAGGAAACATTATCACCACCGATAAATCTACAATAATCGAGAATTTCAACAAGCATTTTGCTACAGCTGGCCATGCTTTCCATCTGGCTACCACTAACCGGCCACCAACTCTGCACCCTCTGCTGCAACTTGCCCATGCCCCCCCCGCTTCTCCTTCACACAAATTCAGACAGCTGATGTTTTGAAAGCGCTGCAAAATCTGGACCCCTACAAATCAGCTGGGCTAGACAATCTGGACCCTTTCTTTCTAAAACTAGCCGCCGAAATTGTCGCAACCCCTATTACTAGTCTGTTCAACCTCTCTTTCATAACGTCTGAGATCCCCAGAGATTGGAAAGCTGCCGCGGTCATCCCCCTCTTCAAAGGGGGTGACACTCTAGATCCAAACTGCTACAGACCTATATCCATCCTGCCCTGCCTTTCGAAAGTATTTGAAAGCCAAGTTAACAAACAGATCACCGACCATTTCGAATACCACCGTACCTTCTCCGCTATGCAATCCGGTTTCCGAGCTGGTCACGGGTGCACTTCAGCCACGCTCAAGGTCCTAAACGATATTATAACCGCGATTGATAATAGACAGTACTGTGGCAGCCGTCTTCATCGACCTGGCCAAGGCTTTCGACTCTGTCAACCACCGCATTCTTATTGGCAGACTAAATAGCCTTGGTTTCTCAAATGACTGCCTCGCCTGGTTCACCAACTACTTCTCAGATAGAGTTCAGTGTGTCAAATCGGAGGGCCTGTTGTCTGGACCTATGGCAGTCTCTATGGGGGTGCCACAGGGTTCAATTCTTGGGCCGACACTTTTCTCCGTGTATATCAATGATGTCGCTCTTGCTGCTGGTGACTCTCAGATCCACCTCTACGCAGACGACACCATTTTGTATACATCTGGCCCTTCATTGGACACTGTGTTAACAAACCTCCAAACGAGCTTCAATGCCATACAACAATCCTTCAGTAGCCTCCAACTGCTCTTAAACACTAGTAAAACTAAATGCATGCTTTTCAATCGAACGCTGCTGGCACCCGCCCACCCGACTAGAATCACCACTCTCGACGGGTCTGACCTAGAGTATGTGGACAACTACAAATACCTAGGTGTCTGGTTAGACTGTAAACTCAACTTCCAGACTCACATAAAGAATCTCCAATCCAAAGTTAAATCTAGAATCGGCTTCCTATTTCGCAACAAAGCCTCCTTCACTCATGCTGCCAAACATGCCCTCGTAAAACTGACTATCCTACCGATCCTTGACTTCGGCGATGTCATTTACAAAATAGCCTCCAACACTCTACTCAGCAAATTGGATGTAGTCTATCACAGTGCCATCCGTTTTGTCTCCAAAGCCCCATACACTACCCACCACTGTGACCTGTACGCTCTTGTTGGCTGGTCCTCACTACATGTTCGCCGTCAAACCCACTGGCTCCAGGCCATCTATAAATCACTGCTAGGCAAATCCCCGCCTTATCTTAGCTCATTGGTCACCATAGCAGCACCCACCCGTAGTCTGCGCTCCAGCAGGTATATCTCACTGGTCATTCCCAAAGCCAACACCTCCTTTGGCCGCCATTCCTTCCAGTTCTCTGCTGCCAGTGACTGGAACGAATTGCAAAAATCTCTGAAGCTGGAGACTCTTATCTCCCTCAATAACTTTAAGCATCAGTTGTCAGAGCACCTTACCGATCACTGCACCTGTACACAGCCCATCTGAAATTAGCCCACCCAACTACCTCATCCCCATATTGTTATTTATTTTGCTCTTTTGCACCCCAGTATCTCTATTTGCACATAATCTCTTGCACATCTAGCATTCCAGTGTTAATACTATTGTAATTATTCTGCACTATAGCCTATTTATTGCCTTACCTCCATAACTTGCTACATTTGCACACACTGTATATATATTTTCTGTTGTATTTTTGACTTTATGTTTTTTACCCCATATGTAACTCTGTGTTGTTTTTATTGCACTACTTTGCTTTATCTTGGCCAGGTCGCAGTTGTAAATGAGAACCTGTTCTCAACTGGCTTACCTGGTTAAATAAAGGTGAAAAAAAAAGAAATTTTTTTTTTTTTACTTTGGCCTCTCCTGGAATCATGGCATTCTCCTGCAAATCTCTCACCGGAGTAGAAAACTGTGTGTTTGAGGATGATAATGTATCAGGTCATCCACTGAGGAGTTGCGTGCATCAAATAGCAGATGGATCCACAAGTTATTTACGCTTTAATTACGACTTCACGTTCATGTATTGATAGATTAAGATATTAACCTCCTGGTTATTCCGAATACTTCAGCCCTGGATTTGTATCTGCGCAACATGATGGGGAATGCGGACGTTGGGCAATGCCCCAAGTGTCAGACCCATGTGGCAGGTGATGAAAACATCCTCCCTTTGGCAACAAAAACATGGCGCAGCATCAATTCCGCTAGTCACACTAGTCTATAAAAACAATTCTATAGACTATTTAATAAAACAAACAAAGAAACATTAGGCTATATCGTTGGCCACTGACATTGTAGCTACAATAAAATATATAGAATATATTAGCCTAGCCTACTTAGAATCTGCATAATAAAACACCACAATTCAGCATCAAATCATCCAACTGCGATACAGTAAATAATTGTACTTACATAATTGAAATTAAGATAAAATAAATGGCAAACTTGCATGTACAAGCAAATGGCGAAGCTTCAGTGCAGGTGTCTGTCTCCCCGCCATGCAGATGAAGCGAGGAAGGTTCGTTCCGTGCGCTCGCTTTGACCGATGTTTTTGTGGTCCGTTGCGCACTTTGCTTTTCCGTATATATACTGTCATTGTACCCATGTGATAATGTGCGTCTTCTCTCTGTGGAAACTTAAGGGAACTCCGAAGTGGTCAAGTAGAAATCCGACATGCAACAGGTAGGTAGGCCTACAGTTAAGTATGTACCCGGATCGCCCGATCTCCGCATGCTGCAGTATTCCAAAAAGGTGCGCAATCAAATGGCCAAAACAGGAGCGCAGTAGACTATACGCAGAGTGATGATAGGTATCACAAGACGATACATTTTCACACACGTAGGCTACACTGGATGTGATAAAGTTAAAACAATAACCGTTTAAAGAGTAACCTTTTGGGTATGTCGTTTACTTGTTAAACTCTGTAAGTGCGCAATTCGAACCTATTGGATGCATGTCCACAGGTGGGCAGTGCTATTTAAATAAAGCGAACATTCTATTTCCAATAATCATTCTAATAGCTTAACCGATATAAATTCCAATCTGAAGGCTGACTGGGGTTTCACAACAATTTATTGAGATCAGAAGAACTCCCGTTCACACCCTCCATGAAAAAATGTGCCAAATTTGTCTTGGTTTGGTCTGTGGCGACCAAGTGTGAGCGTCTGTCCCAAATGACACACTATGCACTACTTTTGCACTAGTTTTGGCCAGAGCCCTATGGACCCTATAGTCTAAAGTAGTGCACTTCATAGGGTATAGGATGTCATTTGGGACGAACTTCAGTTTCCACCCCCATATCTGTTTGTATGTTATAACAATAAACATTACATGATTTTTTTGCATTGGCAACATTTGTGTTTTGATAGGACATTAAGGCATAGGTGCAGATTAACTCAACAAACAAACAATGCACAATATATTTCACAACTAGGCCATTCCATTATGTTTCATACTGCTGTCAATGGCAAAACCTTAATTCCAATATTTCCATTGGTGGATATATATGATGCATTTTATGTCCAGTCAGGGATTAGATGTGTCGCATTTCCTGTTCCATTTCCTGTCATAGTGTAGTCATGGTAACAATGTCCATTTTCAGTCATAGTGTAGTGTATATGTTGCATTTCCTGTCAGTGTAGTCATGGTAACAATGTCCATTTTCATTCATAGTGTAGTGTATGTGTTGCATTTCCTGTTCCATTTCCTGTCATAGTGTAGTCATGGTAACAATGTCCATTTTCGGTCATAGTGTAGTCATGGTAACAATGTCCATTTCCTGTCATAGTGTAGTGCTAGTAGCACTGTCCATTTGTGTAACCCAATAACCATATTGTGCGCTTTCTTCACTTTCGGACCCAATCTCTCACACCATTTGACATCAGTACCAGCTAAGACAGTACCAGTCTCTAGCCTTTACTGGGTCACAACATGGTCTCATCATTCTACCTCTGACCCTCTCGGGGGGTTAATACAGATACCATGGATGGGAGGAAGGGATGGATGGTGGAGCAGGAGTGTCTCCAGCTGTGGTGGTCATGGCCTCAGAACAGTTCAACTGGCTTTGGTGTGTCTTGATGGCTGATGGCGTCCGGCTCCTGTCCCTATGGTTAAACAGTAACGCCGTTGGTGAAAAAGGACTATTTTAACCTCCAGTGCGCTTAGTCTGAAAAACAAAGAAGAAGAAAGGACTAAAATGTCAGCTCACAAGCTGCGTGTGTGTGTGTGTTAGAGAAAGAAATAAAGATGTGTGTGAGACCTTGTGGTTGTCCACACACTGCATGTATAGGTTGGCGATGCCAGAGCAGGCGAGGGTCTGTCCAGTGTTCTCCCTATAGCACTTCAGGATCCGACTCTGCAGGTCACCGCACACTGGCTTGATGTCAACACGCCTGGGAACAGAGAGAGATGACACACACATCCTACTGTACCATCTTCAGCCCAGTCAAGACAGTTCACAGAAAGATTGTTTTTGTCAAACAGAATGTGTTCTCAATAACCTACCTGGTTAAATAGTAAAGGTAAGAAAAACCGTATTAGCCTATGGCCCAGTGTAATGATTAGCAATGAGGGGGAAAAAATAGATAGTTACATATCGCAATATGATTTTTGGATGATATTATAAATCGATACTTGACTCCAAGTATTGATTTTTATTTTATTTTTTGTTAGGTAGCATTAGCTAGCGGTAGTCAGCTGTCGGCTGTACCTCCGACAAAACGCAGGTATTTGTCATCCTATAGCTTGTTCTCCATCTTCTTTTTAAATAGTAATCCAACATGTTTTTAGCACTTTTATTTCCATGACTGATCAAAACTAATGCCGTCATGCTCTCTTGCAGACTTTTGTGAGCAATATGTAGGGCTGTGACTGGCCAGTCAAATTACCATGGTAAGAACCGTTCTAATAATTTATATAAAATAAAATAAACAGATGCACATTTTCTCCTTTCCTCCACTCCTGACTGCATGTGATGCCATATAAATATAATGAATAGAACGGGTGTCCGAATTCAAGTCAATGATGGCATAATGGGTGGACTGGCGGCCATTGCGAGTGTACCAATAGGAGCAAAGAAGGAAGTAAAAGCAGGAAGTGTACCCATCAATATGTGCTGTGATTTGTTGATTCAACTCAACTGACATTTTAAAAAATACATTCCATTGCATGAGCCACATCAGTTAAAATCATTTGAATTAACATTCTCCATTACCATGGAAATTATTGCATCACAATACCAGACAGTCATTGAACCGATGAGTTTACCAGTCAAATTGCCAGGGTTAGAGTTTCCAAGCCCATTCTATTCATCGTTTACTACAACACCTTGCTTGGTTCAGCAAGGGGCAACACAGTTTCATTACATTGTTAAGAGTCCATGTTATTGCAGAAACGGACTCAACCGCACGAATGCCCGGCCGTCCCGTCTTCAGTCAGCTGTTTGTTCGGTTATAACCGTTATTTTATTTTAATGTCAGTCTTCATCCATAACCGTCGGTTACACGGTTATTGTGCCAGCCCTAGCAATGTTTGGAACATCAAATTGCAATACAAATAGAATCGTGAGAATTGCAATACAAATCGTATGGGCACCTAAGTATAGTAATACAATCGTATTGTGAGGTCCCTGGTAATTCCCAGCCCTAATAACGATGATACTCACTTGAAGGTGTTGTGAACGTCCTCTTTGCCCTTCTTGAAGTTCTCTGTGGTGACTTTGAAGAACTGAGCACTCTTAACGAGGGGAACAACACATGGCACATCAACACAACAGCTGCTGGACTGTTGACAAGCTGTAGGACACCGGTATGACTGTGCCAACTGAGCGGTCATGCATTGTAGGTGGTGTGTCAGTATTAAGATGCAATGCAGCGTGCACAGTAATTTTGACCTGAAGAAGATCCTTTTTGGATCGAAACATTCTCAATAAAGGTGGCATTTGGGAGCATATTCAGTGTGTGGGCCTCTGTTCTTTTCTAGTATTCTTCCTTAGTCCAGCAACCTACGTTTTTTAAGGATATTCATATGACTACAAACCTTTCTACAGTGTGTACAGTAATAACACAATATGACAGGAATAACAACAATGACAACGGTGGTAGGCCGTCATTGTAAATAACAATTTGTTCTTAACTGACTTGCCTAGTTAAATAAAAGGTTACATTTTTAAAATAACAGAGGCTATGGCTGTGTGTGACTTGTGTGTGACATTTGTATGTCAGAGAGTGTGTGTGTGTGTGTCATGTACCTTCTCTTCCAGCTTGAAGACCTGTTCCCTGAAGAGTGTGTCTTGTTTCTTCACCTGGTACACTTTCTCCTCCAGTTTGTGGGCCTGAGGAGGACAGAGAGAAGACCTTTACATAACGGAGCATAAAAGCAATTTCTTCTTTCCTACTAAATGACAGCCTGAGCGAGATGACAATGAAAATCAAATAGAACTAGCTTTTTTAGTTAAAGAAGTTAATAGATAATCTTCAAGGCATGCATGAAGTAAGATCACTCCCTTATCTTACCTTAAGTTCTATCCACTGAAGCAAGGTAGCAGAACAACAAGGAAGATGAAGAAAGAGAAGTGAGAAATATGATATTTACAGGTCAAAGGGGAAACCTCCAAGATGCAGCGTCATGCCATCCCCTTTCATAGCAGAGGCAAACGCAACAAACCATCCTTTTGGGATCTGTTCTGAACTCAACTTGCCAGCCTGGCAGTCAGGCTTGAAGACGTAGCTCTGTTCTGAACTGACCAGTGCTCTGTCTACAAATCTGGGTGAGCTGTATGGGCCAGTTGCAGCCAAGCTCATTAGTGGTGGCAGTTGGTTAGGAGCGGTACCTTTGCCTGTTTCCCGGGGCAAATCACCTGGCTCACCCTAAGAGGACACACCAAGATCTCATGCCAACAGAATAGGAGCAATCCAGCATGCCAAACACAAGCAGTCATGCACAAAATATTACCAACATCAGCCAGACCTTTTATGGAAACAGCTAAACACTTACTTGCAAGGCCTTCGCAAGCATTTTAGACAGAATGAAAAGAATGATCAATAAATGCAAATACTCTATAACATTAGTCATGACCAGACAGAAAGTATACAAAAGGCAAACCTCATACAATATTTCAAAGAACAGAACAGAAAATACCTTTTAGTGAACACAATTAGTGACAATTGGCTAGGTAGTTCTGGTTAAGTTGACATACCAGTCTGACTGTACTTAGTTAGCATTTCAGGCATTTCTTAGACTTAGATTCAGACGGACGCGCGCATGCATCCACCACTGCATCTTACGTAGAGCTGGGCCATGAGTCTCTCATCCTCTGTGGTCATGCGTTCCTTGGCGATGGCCGCCATCAGGTTCTCTCCCTGGGCTGCCTTCTCCAGATCCAGGATCTTCTTAACCTCCTCCTGGATCTGGACCTGAGCTATAGCCTGTGCCTGTGCTCTGGCTTGGGCCTTCACCTCATACAACCTATAGATAGACAGAGAGAGACAGAAGTTCAGGCCTGCCCATGTCCCTAAAAAGGCTATTCCTAGGACCACTTTGAAAACATTCTGGATCGTTTTACCGGACCAAGATTAAGCATTTTACTAAAAGGCATTGTCAAATGAGATATTCCATTGAGCTTGTGTTTTAGTCCAGGACTAGGCTCAATCTGTGTCTGGGAAACTGGTCCTTTATGATCTACATTGGTCTCCTCACTGTTTCTCAAACTCCTGCTGCTTCAGTTTCATCTCCTCTTGCAGGCCCTTCGTTAGCTCAGCTTGGATCTGCCTCCTCAGCACTTCTTCATCTAGCACTAAACCAGAAAAGAGGGACACATTTCATGTGAGAGGTTTGTGTAAAATCAACAATGCTCTACTTATCAAATAATCTGAGTTGTCTGAAAGGTCTATATTGAATTCTGAAGTGTATGAGTCAAGCAAAGCACACACTTATGCATCATGATGCAGTTGAAGTCGGAAGCACTTAGGTCGGAATGCACTTAGGTTGGAGTCATTAAAACTTGTTTTTCAACCACTCCACAAATGTCTTGTTAACAAACTATAGTTTTGGCAAGTCTGTTAGGACATCTACTTTGTGCATGACACAAGTAATTTTTCAAACAATTGTTTACAGACAGATTATTTCACTTATAATCCACTGTATCACAATTCCAGTGGGTCAGAAGTTTACATACACTAAGTTGACTGTGCCTTTAAACAGCTTGGAAAATTCCAGAAAATGATGTAATGGCTTTAGAAGCTTCTGATAGGCTAATTGACATCATTTGAGTCAATTGGAGGTGTACCTGTGGATGTATTTCAAGGCCTACCTTCAAACTGAGTGCCTCTTTGCTTGACATCATGGGAAAATCAAAAGCAATCAGTCAAGACCTCAGAAAAGACAATTGTAGACCTCCACAAGTCTGGTTCATCCTTGGGAGCAAACGTCTGAAGGTACCACGTTCACCTGTACAAACAATAGTATGCAAGTATAACCACCATGGGACCACGCAGCCGTCATACCGCTCAGGAAGGAGACGCGTTCTGTCTCCTAGAGATTAACGTACTTTGGTGCGAAAAGTGCAAATCAATCCCAGAACAACAGCAAAGGACCTTGTGAAGATGCTGAAGGAAACAGGTACTAAAGTATCTATATCCACAGTAAAACAAGTCCTATATCGACATAACCTGAAAGGCCGCTCAGCAAGGAAGAAGCCACTGCTCCAAAACCGCCATAAAAAAGCCAGACTACGGTTTGCAACTGCACAAGGGGACAAAGATCTTACTTTTTGGAGAAATGTCCTCTGGTCTGATTAAACAAAAATAGAACTGTTTGGCCATAATGACCATCGTTATGTTTGGAGGAAAAAGGGGTATGCTTGCAAGCCGAAGAACACCATCCCAACCATGAAGCTCGGGGGTGGCAGCATCATGCTGTGGGGGTGCTTTGCTGCAGGAGGGACTGGTGCACTTCACAAAATAGATTGCATCATGAGGAAGGAAAATTATGTGGATATATTGAAGCAACATCTCAAGACATCAGTCAGGAAGTTAAAGCTTGGTCGCAAATGGGTCTTCCAAATGGACAATGACCCCAAGCATACTTCCAAAGTTGTGGCAAAATGGCTTAAGGACAACAAAGTAAAGGTATTGGAGTGGCCATCACAAAGCCCTGACCTCAATCCTATAGAAAATTGGTGGGTAGAACAGAAAAAGCGTGTGCGAGCAAGGAGGCCTACAAACCTGTCACAGTTACACCAGCTCTGTCAGGAGGAATGGGCCAAAATTCACCCAACTTATTGTGGGAAGCTTGTGGAAGGCTACCCAAAACGTTTGACCCAACAATTTAAAGGCAATGCTACCAAATACTAATTGAGTGTATGTAAACTTCTGACCCACTGGGAATGTGATGAATGAAATAAAAGCTGAAATAAATCATTCTCTCTACTATTATTCTGACATTTCACATTCTTAAAATAAAGTGGTGATCCTAACTGACCTAAGACAGGGAATTTTTACTAGGATTAAATGTCAGGAATTGTGAAAAACTGAGTTTAAATGTATTTGGCTAAAGTGTATCTAAACTTCCGACTTCAACTGTATATCTCTGTCTCCATTTATGTCATTGTTGCATGGGGTGCACATGGTCAACAACAACTATATACGCTTGAATTATTGCAGCCAATAAGGAATACATCATTACTACATTATTACACACCAATAACACAAATCAATACAACTTAGATGAGAGAAAGCAGACTCACCTGCTGGAGGTTGCGGTGGGATCACAGTGGGGATCACAACGGGAGCCACAATTGGAACAGCCACATCTTCAATGAGGGGGGGTAGTGGAATGCTGACCATAGGTTCTACTGGGGAAGGGAGGGGAGTAGGGGGAGCCATGGGCTCTTCTACATGGGGAGGGAGATCAGCTGGTTTGCTAGCAGTAGACAGGGTGGCCAGCAGCTCCATGGATGGACAAGGTGCTGGAGGGAGCTCCTCCATGACAGGCTCTGGAATAGGTGCTAGGACTGGGGCAGGTAGGGTCATGACAGGCTCTGGGATGGGTGCTAGGACTGGGGCAGGTAGGGTCATGACAGGCTCTGGGATAGGTGCTAGGACTGGGGCAGGTAGGGTCATGACAGGCTCTGGAATAGGTGCTAGGACTGGGGCAGGTGGGGTCATGACAGGCTCTGGGATAGGTGCTAGGACTGGGGCTACAGGTTTTGCAGCGGGGGGAGGAGTAGAGACATGTTGGGGCTCTACAGGTGGAGGTGTGGGTAGGACAACCTCTTCAACAACAGGTGGTGTCGTATTGGTGACAGGTTCCACAACAGGTGTAGGAAGATCAACTGGTTCAACCACTGGAGGCAAGACTGTAGTGTCAATTACTGAAGGTAGGACTGTAGGTTCAACAGGTGGAGACAGAACTACAGGTTCTACAAGGGTAGGCAGCACTACAGCTTCCACAGATGGGTGTAGAGGGGTAGCTAGGCACTTGGGTTCAACCACTGGAGGCAGGACTACTGGTTCTGCGAGGGTAGGTGGTGCCACATCCTCAACCACCACTGGAGGCAGCACAATAGCTTCAACAGGTGAAGGGGCAGGGGTAGGAGGTTCTACCTGTTCTACAGGGAGATGTAGGACAACAGATTCAACCACTGGAGGCAGCACAATTGGTTCCACAGCTGGAGGAGGGGTAGCTAGAACCACAGGTTTCACAGGTTTAGGTGGTACTACGGGTTCTATAGGGACAAGTGAGATAATAGGTTCAGCCAGTGTCGGCAGAACTACAGGTTCCTCGGGGGTAGGGGTACATAGGAGTAAAGCTACTGGCTCTTCTATTGGTGGAGATGCAGCCAAAGGTAGCACTATAGGTTCTAAAGGCACCAGAGGACGTATGGGTTCTACCGCTTGAGGAAGCACTTCAGTTTCTACAGGTGGAGGTGGAGCAATAGATTCAACAGCTGGAGGTAGGACTATCGGTTCCTTAGGTGGAGGGGGAGGTGTGGGTAGGGCCGCAGGTGGAGGGGGAGGTGTGGGTAGGGCCGCAGGTGGAGGGGGAGGTGTGGGTAGGGTCACAGGTGGAGGGGGAGGTGTGGGTAGGGCCACAGGTGGAGGGGGAGGTGTGGGTAGGGCCACAGGTGGAGGGGGAGGTGTGGGTAGGGCCACAGGTGGAGGGGGAGGTGTGGGTAGGGCTGCAGGTGGAGGGGGAGGTGTGGGTAGGGCTGCAGGTGGAGGGGGAGGTGTGGGTAGGGCTGCCGGTGGAGGGGGAGGTGTGGGTAGGGCTGCAGGTGGAGGGGGAGGTGTGGGTAGGGCTGCAGGTGGAGGGGGAGGTGTGGGTAGGGCTGCAGGTGGAGGGGGAGCAGAGACAAATGTGACAGGAGGAGGTGGAGTGAGCTTTACTGGCTGAACAGGGGGAGACGGAGGTGTTGGTAGGACCGCAGGTGGAGGGGCTGTGGTTGGAGCTGGTTCCAAAGTGGGGGCCAAATGTTCGACTGTGGGGGCCGGCGTGGACAGAGGGACCACAGGTTCTGTCAAGAGCGTGGAAGCAGGTCCATTCTGCTGTGAGCGAGGATGGACCATCTTCTGGGCCTGACGCTCTTCTCTCATTCGATTGATTACTTTATCTGTCAGCTGTCATGGAAAGAAGGAAAAAGGTCAACAACCATCAGGCATAACATGTTTCTAGAACCACAGCACTAGACTGTACTAAAGATAATACAATTCGATTTTTGTGCCATGTAAATCAACTAACACTGATAGCTTTCAATGGAGTAGCACCCCATCATTCATATGAAGAGGAGACGCCGTTACAGAGGTCGATGAACCGGATGCCTGGAGAATAAACTGGATGAGCTCCATTCGAGACTATCCTATCAACGGGACATTAAGAACTAATATCCTGTGTTTCACCAAGTTGTGGCTGAACAAGGACATGGATAATATAGAGTTAGCTGGGTTTCCCGTGCATCAGCAGGACAGAACAGCAGCCTCTGGTAAGATCAGGGGGGGGGGGGGTGGTGTGTATCTCTTTGTCAACAAAGACTGGTGCGCAATCTCTAATATTAAGGAAGTCTCGAGGCTCTGCTCGCCTGAGTTAGAATACCTCATGATAAGTTGTAGACCATAATATTTACCAAGAGAGATTTCATCTATATTCTTCATAGCTGTCTATTTACCACCACGAACCGATGCTGGCACTAAGACCGCACTCAACGAGCTGTATAAGGACATAAGCAAACAGGAAAATGCTCATCCAGAGGCAGCGCTTCTAGTGGCCAGGGACTTTAATGCAGGAAAACTGCAATCCGTTTGACCACATTTCTACCAGCATGTCACATGTGCAGATACAGGGGGAAAAAAAACTCTAGATCACCTTTACTCCACACACAGAGATGCGCACAAAGCTCTCCTTCACCCTCCATTTGGTCAATCTGACCATAACTCTATCCTCCTGATTCCTGTTTACAAGCAAAAACTCAAAAGTACCAGTGCGGAAGTGCCAATACGGAAGTGGTCCGATGAAGCGGATTCTAAACTACAGGACTGTTTCACTAGCACAGACTGGAATATGTTCCGGGATTCAGCCGATGGCATTGACGAGTTTAACACATCAGTCACCAGCTTCATTAATAAGTGCATCAATAAAGTCATCCCCATAGTGACCGTACGTACGTACGTACGTACGTACATATCCCAACCAGAAGCCATGGATTACAGGCAACATCTGCACTGATCTAAAGGCTAGAGCTGCTACTTTCAAGGAGCGGGACACTAATCCGGACTCTTATAAGAAATCCCGCTACACCTTCCGACGAACCGTCAAACAGGCAAAGCATCAATACAGGACTAAGATCCAATCCTACTACACCGGCTCTGATGCTCGTCGGTTGTGGCAAAACTTGCAAACTATCACGGATTACAAAGGGAAACCCAGCCGCGAGCTGCCCAGTGACGCGAGCCTACCAGACGAGCTAAATGCCTTATATGCTCGCTTCGAGGCAAGCAACACTGAACCATGCATGAGAGCACCAGCTGTTCCGGACGACTGTGCTTGATCACGCTCGCCGTAGCCGATGTGAGTAAGACCTTTAAACAGGTTCATATTCACAGACAGATTACTAGGACTCAGAGCATGTACTGACCAACTACCTCCCAGTAGCACTCACATCTGTAGCCATGAAATGCTTTGAAAGGCTGGTCATGGCTCACATCAACACCATCCTCGCAGAAACCCTGGACCCACTCCAATTCACATACCATCCCAACAGATAGCGCAATCTCTATTGCACTCCACAATGCCCTTTCCCACCTGGACAAAATAAAACACCTACATGACCAAAAGTATGTGGACATCTCATTCCAAAATCATGGGCATTAATATGGAGTTGGTCCCCTTTGCTGCTATAACAGCCTCCACTCTTTTGGGAAGGCTTTCCACTAGATGTTGGAACATTGCTGCGGGGACTTGCTTCCATTAAGCCACTACAGCATTAGTGAGGTCGGGCACTGATGTTGGGCGACTAGGCCTGGCTCGCAATCGGCGTTCCAATTCATCCCAAAGGTGTTCGATGAGGTTGAGGTCAGGGCTCTGTGCAGGTCAGTCAAGTTATTCCACATTGATCTAGACAAACCATTTCTGTACGGACCTAGCTTTGTGCACGGGGGCATTGTCATGCTGGAACAGGAAAGGGCCTTCCCCAAACTGTTGCCACAAAGTTGGAAGTACAGAATCGTCTAGAATGTCATTGTATGCTGTAGCGTTAAGATTTCCCTTCACTTGAACTAAGGGGCCTAGCCCGAACCACGAAAAACAGCCCCAGACCATTATTCCTCCTCCACCAAACTTTCCAGTTGGCACTATGCATTCGGGCAGGTTCTCCTGGCATTCGCCAAACCCAGATTCATCCGTCAGACTGCCAGATGGTGAATCGTGATTCATCACTCCAGAGAACGTGTTTCCACTGCTCCAGAGTCCAATGGCGGCGCACTTTACACCACTACAGCCGACGCTTAGCATTGCGCATGGTGATCTTAGGCTTGTGTGCGGCTGCTCGGCCATGGAAACCCACTTCATGAAGCTCCTGATGTTGCTTCCAGAGGCAGTTTGGAACTCGTAGTGAGTGTTGCAACTGAGGACAGACCATTTTTACGCGCGCTTCAGCACTCGTTGGTACCGTTCTGTGGGCTTGTGTGTCCTACCACTTCGCGGCTGAGCCATTGTTGCTCCTAGTTGTTTCCACTTCACAATAACAGCACTTACAGTTGACCGGGGAAGCTCTAGCAGGGCAGAAATTTGACTAAATGACTTGTTGGAAAGGTGGAAACTTATGACGGTGCCACGTTGAAAGTCATTGAGCTCTTCAGTAAGGCCATTCTACTGCCAATGTTTGTCTATGGAGATTGCATGGCTGTGTGCTCGATTTTATACACCTGCCAGCAACGGGTGTGGCTGAAATAGCCGAATCCACTAATTTGAAGTGGCATCCATATACTTTTGTATATATAGTGTATGTGAGAATGCGGTTCATTGACTACAGCTCAGTGTTCAACACCACAGTGCCCTCCAAGCTCATCACTAAGCTAAGAACCCTGGGACAAGCCGCCCCCAGGTGGTGAGGGTAGGCAACAACACATCCGCCACGCTGATCCTCAACATGGGGACCCCTCAGGGGTACGTGCTGTTGTGGAAAATTAAAAATGATTCCACCACAGTGCTTAGTCCCCTCCTGTACTCCCTGTTCACCCATGGCTGCGTGGCTACGACAGTGGTAGGCCTGATCACAGACAACAATGAGACAGCCTATAGGGAGTAGGTCAGAGACCTGGCAGTGTGGTGCCAGGACAACAACCTCTCCCTCAACGTGAGCAAGACAAAGGAGCTGATAGTGGACTACAGGAAAAGGAGGGCCGAGCACGCCCCCATTCACATCGACAGGGCTGTAGTGTAGCGGGTCGAGAGCTTCAAGTTCCTTGGTGTCCACATCACTAAGGACCTATCATGGTCCAAACACATCAACACAGTCGTGAAGAGGGTACGACAACGTCTATTCCCCCTCAGGAGGCAGAAAATATTTGGCATCGGACCTCAGATCCTCAAAAAGTTATACAGCTGCACCATCGAGAACATCCTGACTGGTTGCGTCACCGCTTGGTATGGCAACTGCTCGGCATCCGACTGCAAGGCGATACAGATGGTAGTGCGTATGGCCCAGTACATTACTGGGGCCGAGCTTCCAGGCGGTGTCAGAGGAAGGCCCTAAAAATTGTCCGACTCCAGCCACTAAAGGCATAGACTGTTCTCTCTGCTACTGCACAGCAAGCGGTACCGGAGCACCAAGTCTGGGATCAAAAGGCTCTTTAACAGCTTCTACCCCCAAGCCATAAGACTGCTGAACAGTTAATCAAATGGTAACCCGGACTATTACATTGACCCCCTTATTTTATAATTTTTTGCACCAACTCTCTTGCACAGGCTCGATGTACACTTACTGGACTCTAACCACACCCACACCTTCACATATGCTTCTGCTACTCTCTGTTTATCATCTATGCATAGTCACTTTACCCCTACCTACATATTAAGTCCCCTGTGGCTCAGTTGGTAGTGCATGGCGCTTGCAACGCAAGGGTTGTGGGTTCGTTTCCCACGGGGGGCCAGTATGAAAATGTATGCACTCACTAACTGTAAACCTCGACATTAACTCAATTAACTCTGCATTGTTGGTTACGGGCTCCAAAGTAAGCATTTCACGGTAACGTCTACACCTGTTGTATTCTGTGCATGTGACAAATACAATTTGATTTGCAACTACAGTTATACTGCACTGTAACTGCAGGGGGGGCGGACTTTTTCCCAAATGATTAAAGGCCTGGGCAATTTGGGGGGCGTAGCAGCATACTGTGTTCAAATCAAATAGTTGTGCAATGTGTAAAGGCTAGCTGTTTGCCTGCTTATGAAAATACATAGATTTTGATTTTCTTGAAAAGTGAACGTACTGATCAGCCTGTTGGTAGAAGCCTATACATCAATGTTTTTCACGAATTTGGTGCGTTTCAGTATTTTGGCATTATATCGACATTCGACAAAAACTAATGGAACATAACCGTATCATTTCAGTGATGTTTCAGTTTAGTGTCGCTAATGACTAAGCGCGCGTAACATTGTTGCATGTTTTTGTGTTACAGAAACTTTGTATCTCGTTGCTCACTCACCCTAATGCCCTTCACAAATGTAACGTGGTCGCCTTCGTTTTCATACGATACGTGCTGCTGCTGTTGCCTCCCATGCTTTCCGTACAGACAGCGTGCCTAAAATGTTATTGAGAAATTTGCAGGTAGGTTTGGTGTAAATCTTGAGCCACAACGTGGGTTTTTGGACCGAGACCACACAGCCCAGTTTAATCTCACAGTTTGGATACAAACACAACGGCAATTGCCTGCCCCCTGAGTTATGTTTATTGGTCATTTCTATTGGCTGAGAAAAGGCGTCTTGAACAAGACCCCTCTCCATTGGTCTCCATTTTCACGGAAACTATGATGTAAGAAGTACAATATGTCCCATTATCAGGGACTCATGCTATGGAAATATACGTACAGAGAAATGTAATGTAAAGAAACTATACAATACAATGCAATTTTAGTAGATAGAGAATGGATGGTGTAATGATTCTAGAATGTAGGAAAATGCCAATAACGCATTTGCACGTTTTTTCACAAAGGTGTTTTTCATGACAAAGTTACTGGTCCTGCCAAGTACTATTTTGATAGGACAAACAGCCTCCTAATGAAATATTCCTAAAATAAAACATGAACAAGTTTCACAATACATTATCATAATACTTTTCACTTGTGTCCCATCAATATCTGTTGATGAATCACTGATGAAGTGGTTTGTCAACTCACTATGTCATTCAGTATTTAAAAACCATGTTTATCTGAGGTGTACCGTAATGTTTTGTCCATATAACAGTATAATCATTATTCTGGTGTTCAGTGCATTACCATTGAAGTACATGTTATCATTATATGTCAAATACATGTTGACATACACACATACTATTAACAAACAGCTCAGAATATCCCGACCTCATATTTAGCCGAATAAATACAATTCACCAAACAAACAAAATTAACAGAACAGTAAGGTATCAGTTTTGCAATAGCTTGCCTTATTAGGTCAACAAGGTACTGTAGTGTTTGTCTAGCATAGGAGGTTGGTGGCACCTTAATTGGGGAGGACAGGCTTGTGGTAATGGCTGGAACGGAATAAGTGGAATGGTATGGTATCCATGTGTTTGATGCCTATCCATTTACTCCATTCCAGCTGTTATTATGAGCCGTCCTCCCCTCAGCAGCCTCCACTGTTTGGTGATGTCCTTAAAAATGGGTTAGGTGAGAAGCAACTATTGTTCAAGCAACGAAAACAATAGGAAAAACCTTACTAAAAATACATAATTATGATTCTATTAAAAACGGACGTGGTCCTACTGCGACTGCAGCAGAGAGGGGAAGGGGGTGGGGGGAGCACGCCTACAACAAATACAGTACAGTCCACACACACACACACACAACTGTGCAGCCAGAGGCACTCTCTTGTGACATTGGCTCTATCTTAATTTCTCTTTTCGAGATTCCTCGCATCCTCTCTCCTCTGCTCCTTTTCAGTCATATTGGAAGAGAATGTCTCAGGTCCCTCCCCAGATCTTCTTCTCCAATGCGTTTTGAGAAGGAGTCAAGGAGAAAAGGATGCAAGGAATTGAGGAAAGATTAAGTGAAAAAAAAAAGAGTCATTGAGTGATACGTCGGTGCTGCGTATCACTCCGCCTTCTTCTCTTTCAGCTCTTCTTTTCCTCTCAGTGCCATGCGGACGCTAGTCCAGACCTCTGTGTAGATCAGGGTGCCCAGGAAGACAACGGCAGTGCCCACCCAGTGCCAGGCGGTAAAGGGGTTCTTGAAGTAGAGAATGGAGATGATGAGGCTGATGAACTTCCTCAGTGTGACCACCAGGGTCACGGTGAGAGAGGCACACTCTGTGGTCAGGATGAACACGCCGCGGATACACACGTATCTGAGGAGAAGGTGAAGGACTGCAAGAGGGTGATGATGTTATGTGTTTAATAAAAAATGTATATGCATTTTTTTTGATGGGCTCTTCTACATCCTTGCATGAGTGCTATGTACAATCTTACATTTTTAAGGTGAATGTTCACAGTCTTCTAGTATGCAGAGAGGTCAGCAATAGTGTGTTGTTCTTACAGTTGTATAAAAACAGGTCTCTACACTAATCTTATTAAACTAAGAGTATTGTGGGGGGGAGTGACGTGAGTGACGACACACTTTTCTGAGATTTTTGTCCATGATGTTGTATTTATAATTTGTTACTGCCGATTATGTTTAGTCTTTAGGTCTACCTTAAAAACCAATTCAACAATTGCAACAATACTGTGAAAGTATTATAAAAAGGATACTGTGTGATTACGTTAACCAGTAGGTATAGCCACATCACTGGAACAGCCTGGCCAATCACAGTAATCTCTACAGGAGCTGGAAGACAAATGACATTTAGGCTACAGGACAACAAGACGACAACAAGAGAACAACAAGACGACAACAAAAGAACAACAAGAAGACAAGAAGACAACAAGAGAACAACAAGACAACAAGAGGACAATAACTCAATATAAGATTACAAGAAAGACAGACACCAACAGACATAACATGTAAAGTCACTTCTTTACTATTATATACAGTACCAGTCAAACGTTTGGACACACCTACTAATTCAAGGGTTTTTCTTAATTTCTTACTATTTTCTACACTGTAGAATAATAGTGAAGACATCAAAACTATGAAATAACACATATGGAATCATGTAGTAACCAAAAAAAGTGTTAAACAAATCAAGATATCTTTTATATTTGAGATTCTTCAAATAGCCACCCTTTGCCTTGATGACAGCTTTGCACACTCTTGGCAACAGTGAAGAGGCAACTCCGGGATGCTGACCTTCTAGGCAGAGTTGCAAAGAAAAAGCCATATCTCAGACTGGCCAATAAAAAGAAAAGATTAAGATGGGCAGTCTGAGATATTACTTTTTCTTTGCAACTCTGCCTAGAAGGTCAGCATCCCGGAGTCGCCTCTTCATTTTACATTTACATTTTAGTCATTTAGCAGACGCTCTTATCCAGAGCGACTTACAGTTCAGTACTGTTGACGTTGAGACTGGTGTTTTGCGGGTACTATTTAATGAAGCTGCCAGTTGAGAACCTGTGAGTTGTCTGTTTCTCAAACTAGACACTAATGTATTTGTCCTCTTGCTCAGTTGTGCACCGGGGCCTCCCACTCCTCTTTCTATTCTGGTTAGAGCCAGTTTGCGCTGTTCTGTGAAGGGAGTACTACATAGCGTTGTACGAGATCTTCAGTTTCTTGGCAAGTTCTCGCATGGAATATCCTTCATTTCTCAGAACAAGAGTAGACTGACGAGTTTCAGAAGAAAGTTATTTGTTTCTGGCCATTTTGAGCCTGTAATCGAACCCACAATTGCTGATGCTCCAGATACTCAACTAGTCTCAAGAAGGCAAGTTTTATTGCTTCTTTAAATCAGCACAACAGTTTTCAGCTGTGCTTAACATAATTGCAAAAGGGTTTTCTAATGATCAATTAGCCTTTTAAAATGATAAACTTGGATTAGCAAACACAACGTGCCATTGGAACACAGGACTGATGGTTGCTGATAATGGGCCTCTGTACGCTTATGTAGATATTCCATTAAAAATCAGCCGTTTCCAGCTACAATAGCCATTTACAACATTAACAATGTCTACACTGTATTTCTGCTCAATTTTATGTTATTTTAATGGACAAAAAAAAAGCTTTTCTTTCGAAAACAGGGACATTTCTAAGTGACCCCAAACTTTTGAACGGTAGTGTATATACACAGTACACTGAACAAAAGTATAAAACGCAACATGCAACAATTTCAACGATTTAACTGAGTTACAGTTCATATAAGGAAATCAGTCAATTTAAATAAATTCATTCGACCCTAATCTATGGATTTCACATGACTGGGAATACAGATATGCATCTGTTGGTCACAGATACCTTTAAAAAAAGGGTACGGGCGTGGATCAGAAAACCAGTCAGTATCTGGTGTGACCACCATTTGCCTCATGCAGCGCGACATCTCCTTCGCATAGAGTTGATCAGGCTGTTGATTGTGGCTTGTGGAATGTTGTCCCACTCCTCTTCAATGGCTGTGCGAAGTTGCTGGATATTGGCGGGAACTGGAACACGCTGTCGCACACATCGATCCAGAGCATCTCAAACATGCTCAATGGGTGACATGTCTGGTGAGTATGCAGGCTATGGAAGAACTGGGACATTTTCAACTTCCAGGAATTGTGTACAGATCCTTGCGACATGGGGCCGTGCATTTTCATGCTGAAACATGAGGTGATGGCCGTGGATGAATGGCACGACAATGGGCCTCAGGATCTCGTCACGCTATCTCTGTGCATTCAAATTGCCATCAATAAAATGCAATTGTGTTCGTTGTCCGTAGCTTATGCTTGCCCATACCATAACCCCACCGCCACCATGGGGCAAACCGCTCGCCCATACGACACCCGGTACAGTTGAAACCAGGACTCATCCGTGAAGAGCACACTTCTCCAGCGTGCCAGTGGCCATCGAAAGTGAGCATTTGCTCACTGAAGTCAGTCACGACGCCGAACTGCAGTCAGGTCAAGACCCTGGTGAGGACGACGAGCACTCAGATGAGCTTCCCTGAGACGGTTTCTGACAGTTTGTGCAGAAATTATTCAGTTGTGCAAACCCACAGTTTCATCAGCTGTCCAGGGGGCTTGATCCCGCAAGTGAAGAAGCCAGATGTGGAGGTCCTGGGCTGGTGTGGTTACATGTGGTCTGCGGTTGTGAGGCCGGCTGGACGTACTGCCAAATTCTCTGGCACAGCTCTGGTGTACATTCCTGCAGTCAGCATTCCAATTACACGCTCCCTCAAAACTTGAGACATCTGTGGCATTGTGTTGTGCTGTGTGACAGAACTGCACATTTTAGAGTGGCCTTTTATTGTCCCCAGCACAAGGTGCACCTGTGTAATGATCATGCTGCTTAATCAGCTTCTTGATATGCCACACCTGTCAGGTGGATGGATTATCTTGGCAAATGAGAAATGCTCACTAAGAGGGATATAAACAAATTTGTGCACACAATGAGAGAAATAAGCTTTTTGTGCGTATGGAAAATTTCTGGGATCTTTTATTTCAGCTCATAAAACATGGGACCCACACTTTACGTGTTGCATTTATATTTTTGTTCAGTGTAGATTCAACAAAGCGTAAATTACGTCAGTCAGCAAAGACGACAACAACAAACTTAACCTTAGATTATTGAGGTTTGAAGTCCTTTCACTACACTGAACGAGTTGTAAAATTTGGTTAATTTTCCAGGTTTTTCTGAAATCCCAGAGGATTTCTGGAATCATGAAGGAATAAGCAGGAAGAGAATCCTCCAACTGGGATAGAAATACATAAAGAAATCAGGATACTTTGACATGTTTCATTCAAATCTTTGACTGTGTTTTAACTCACTGCTTTGACTGAAGAGGACACAATGTTTGTAGATATCTGAGGACAGCAGCAGGAACCCAGGAAGAGGCAAGCAGTGCTGAGAGGGCAACAACAAAACATATTACAATGGCAGAGATTATGGGCCAGTTTCCCAGACACAGATGAAGCCTAGTCTTAAACTAGAAAACATTCTCAAAAGAGAATCTCCATTGAAAGTGTTTTTTGGTCCAGGACTAAGCTTCATCTGTGTCCAGGAAACTAAATACACAGAGAATAGACATACATAAAGGTACAGTACAAATCAAGCAATGCAGACAAAACACTGAAAATGCAGCAACTCTTTTTGCAGCAAATGTTAAGGATTAAGCTTTGTACTATTGTATGGTGGAGCATTATGTGAGAGAAGCAAAGCTTTTTAATCTCCATTGCCAGGGGATACATGACAATCACATTTGTTAGTTACTTTGCCTGAAGAAGTGTACGGCATCTGTTAGGTATGAAATGCATTGCATACAGAAGTTTGGGGTTGACACTAGGGCTGTGATGATACCAGCACTGCAATATTTTTTTCATTGTAAAAATGAAAACACGAAGCAGACGAAACTCATTGGTTCTTTAAAATCTTGTTGTATGTAAAATATTGTGTGCTATAGCTTGAAAAAATCAATAAAATGTGACTCTGGATGACAACATTAGGGCTATTTTCCTAAAGAAGTTAAATCCACTTTGCGTTTTGTTTCCTTGCCACATTAGTAAAGAGTATCGCGATACTGGTATCATCTCGTCCCTAGTTGACACTCACATTGTAGAAGAGAGCCTCCTTGGAGTGTTTGCCATACTGCTTGTACAGGGTCTCCTGAAAGATGCCCATTCTCGCAGACATGAGCAGAGCAAAGGTCAACATGGCGATCCCTAGAATAACAACAAACCTAGGTCAGAAAATCAGGTGGATCATGGTTGAGTTACTGATACCAGAGAGAGAGAGAGAGAGAGAGAGAGAGAGAGAGAGAGAGAGAGAGAGAGAGAGAGAGAGAGAGAGAGAGAGAGAGAGAGCACATCAGGCTGGGGCTGAGTGGGTTCCATTTCTTTTCAAACACTGAAGGAAGTTTGCTTTGTTTAGCTTGTCTCCCCAGAGTCAGATGAACTTGTGGATACCATTTTTATGTATCTGCGCTCAGTATGAAGGAAATTAGAGGTTGTTTCACGAACCAATGCCAACTAGTGTTAGCGCAATGCCTGGAAGTCTTCGGGATCAGCTAGCATGTTAAAATTAAATAGGGAATGGGATAGGTAATGCACCAGGGAATGGGATAGGTAATGCACCAGGGAATGGGATAGGTAATGCACCAGGGAATGGGATAGGTCATGCACCAGGGAATGGGATAGGTAATGCACCAGGGAATGGGATAGGTAATGCACCAGGGAATGGGATAGGTAATGCACCAGGGAATGGGATAGGTAATGCACCAGGGGCGGAATTCTTGAGATCTGCAGGCGGAAATAGAATTTGTGCAAGTCAAGTCATTTCCCATTGACATGAATGTGTGGTTTATTTATGTAATAGTCAAAGAGTTGTGCATGCTTATCTCAAGCCTTTGTCAACAACAGAAACAATAAGTGGCCAGTTCTCAGTTAAAAGGTAGTCCCAACTTGTCTGGGCTCAGGTAACGATCTCTTTATCAAAAATGTGTCGTCAACAAAGACTTCTGGCTGAGCGGGAGTGATGACTCAGTCAAATCATTCCTATACACACCCAACAGTCCATGGCAAACTTACCTAACAGCCAATGCAGGAAGGCATAAACATCTTGTTCCTCTGAGCCCTCGGCCCCTGTGTTCTGCACAAGGAAAAACAGAGTTCACTAAATAGCACAGCATAACTTATTAAGTTGTTCTGTGTTGAGTTAAAGATCTCACTGTACACCATGAACATGTACTGTAGGTGTGTAACAAAGTGTAGCAACTGTGTAACAATGTTTTTAACAACTCTGCTACAAGACAACTGTGAAGCTGCGACCCACAATGCACATTATAAGGAAGAAAAGTGTGTGGTTGAACAGAAACATGTTATTGAGGAACTCACCACTTGTCTGGCGGACATAATGGTGCATATGAAGATACCCAGAGACACCATCGCTATGGAGAGATATTTACTCATTGAATACCTGCAGGGGAAAGATGCAGTACATGGTTTTAGAACCTCCCTATCAGAGTTTGGATAACCAGATGTTTTACTTAAGCTATAAGATCACAATTATAACAGCAGTCTGTGCATGCAAAATAGTGACAAAAGCAGCAACGCATTCCCAGAATGCAACACATAATACAACTGAAGAGCAAACCATTCATCTATCAAAATAATGGTTCTAAGGTGTCTTTTTAGCAACATCTACATTCTAACATGTTAAACGAGTATAAAGGGTTTGTGACGCGAGAGAGGGGGGGTTGGGGTATATAAAGACTGCCAAGTCAAGAGATATTAGGCAGGGATGTATACCTTTTCTTCAGAATTATTATACCCAGGATCATGTTAGCTATTAATGATCCCTGTGGAGATATAACACACAAAGCACACAATTAGTCAACCAAGAAGAGGTTTTAGATGGTAATAGGTGGTATGAGGCATCAGATATTAAGTTAAAGTTAAGCTATAAGGAAATTGATATACTTACAGATCTGAAGATCATGTGCAGAGGCATAGCGATATTGAAGTTGAGGGCATAGTTGTTGATCACACTGACAGTGAAGAACATGGTTACCATGATCACATAGTTGCTATAAAGAAGAAATAAACACAAAGGTTGAATTAAAACTGTGCTTCTCATCTCATCCCTGATAGACAGACAAACGGACAGACGGACCAACAGACTGACACGCAGACAGACAGACAACACAATTATAGATAGACAGACAGCTCAATAATTCCATCACTGTAGCTACATTCTCAGACATTAGGCTACCTCATGGGGATGGCTGGTTTCTTTCTTCCAAAGTTCGTCTCGAAGATGAATCCCTCCAATGCAATGAAGGCAAATTGAGCAAAGGTCACAATGTTGCCACATCCTGGGAACTCTCTGGGAGTAGAATAATGCATAAAAGTGTGCATGAATAGCATCAATTATTAGGAAATATGCTAGCCTACATAATAGATTACTGTAATGTAAGCACAACAGCATCTTAGCTATACAACCAAAGAATGCAGAAATACTCTAAAGATTGAACCTAATTTAACCATGGAAGCTAGTAGCCTAGTCTAGTGCAGTCAATAGTTGTTAATGAGTTCAGAGTTGATAACTGACCTTACAAGTAGCTCCAGAAACACAACATTGCTGCAGCACCCAACAAAAACAAGAAGTACTGCAAAAATGGTGTTCATGTTTGTAGTTACCGGTAAAAACCTTGTTGAAAATTAGATAACGTTACTTGTTCAAGAGTATTTCTAACGAGGACATTGTGTAAACACAGATTTCTGCTCGTGATAAAGAAGTTGGTACGCATGGGTGTTGTAGTTTTCGCAAGGATAACCACATTTCCCATAAAGATAGTATTGTTCAAAGAAATGTAAACTGCAGAGAGCCCTGATAGAATGTCAAGCGGCAGTAGCTTAAATATTCACAAATAGATCCCCCATTATCTTCATTTTCTCACATTTTCTACAACAAAAAACAACAAAATAGCTTATACGCAGCACTGCGCAGAACTGATTCCCGCGAACGTATCATTTGAGTTTGCGTGAGTGCGTTGTTCCAGAAGACGTGGCGCCAGCATCTCTCTGCTGTCAACAAGCTTCGCACCACATAGACTGCTAGTTAGCTATCTAACGATTATTGAATGAGAACAAGTTGTTTGCCAGTTGCTACACTGCACCCAAAATGATCTCTCTAACGGATTCACAAAGTAAGACCACTTAATTAATAAATGAAATGTTTTAAGCTTGTATCTTTTCTTTGTGAGCAACTTCTTCTAGCTAGCCGCTCACCATGATTGAATGAATGGCACCATCGCCCTATTTTATGAGCTCCCTATTATGAGCTTCAATGCTAGTCATATCATGTCACCTAGGTATCGCTAGCTAGAAGAATATGTACTGTAGTCCGTAGCTAGCTAGCTACCAACGCTTATTCATGAGTTCACTGATCTGTAGAGTGAGAACCATATGAATGAATGGATGGATGAATGAAGGTGTCAATCAATGTCAATGGAAAGCTATGTATTGACATCTATTTTGGCTACACAGAGATCGGTATGGGGTTGACAGGCTTCGGCGTGTTCTTCCTCTTATTCGGGATGGTCCTGTTTTTTGACAAGGCTCTTCTTGCCATTGGAAATGTGAGTTGCAGCCCAAGCCTACATAATCATAATGTTGTGATGTATTCCATAGATGCCCTCTGTGTGTATGTGCACCAACATTCTTTATGGTAAAGTTACAAGAATTACTTATTTCTGCTGCTATACCCCTTACTCTCTGGAATAAACACTTCCAGCTAGTGTTATGGGGGGCTTTGATGATTCTCTGTTGTAATGCATGGCGACAGTAATTGTCAGGGTTTCTGATCAAACCACCATGTCAGGACATGTTTAGCTGGTGTTATTGGTGTGTGACCTCCAGCAGTTTGCATAGCTAAATGAAGTGATATGACAACGACATACTGTACTGCACTAGCCTTGCATCCAAAATGATTTCACTAAGAAATATTATTTCTCTCATTTTTTTTTTTACATCCCTGTTAATGAGCATTTATCTTTTGCCAAGATAATCCATCCATCTGAGAGTTGTGACATATCAAGAAGCTGATTAAACAGCATGAGCATTACACAGGTGCACCTTGTGCTGGGGACAATAAAAGGCCACTCTAAAATGTGCAGTTTTGTCACACAACACAATGCCACAGATGTCTCAAGTTTTGAGGGAGCATGCAATTGGCATGCTGACTGCAGGAATGTCCACCAGAGCTGTTGCCAGATAATTGAATGTTAATTCCTCTACCATAAGCCGCCTCCAACGTTGTTTTAGAGAATTTGGCAGTACGTCCAACTGGCCTCACAGCCGCAGACCATGTGTATGGCGTTGTGTGGGCGAGAGGTTTGCTGATGTCAACGTTGTGAACATAGTGCCCCATGGTGGAGGTGGGGTTATGGTATGGGCAGGCATAAGCTACTGACAACGAACACAATTGCATTTTATTGATGGCAATTTGAATGCACAGAGATACCGTGACAAGATCTTAAGGCCCATTGTCGTGCCATTCATCCGCCACCATCACCTCATGTTTCAGCATGATAATGCACAGCCCCATGTCGCAAGGATCTGTACACAATTCCTGGAAGTTGAAAATGTCCCAGTTCTTCCATGGCCTGGGATGCTCTGGATCAACGTGTACGACAGTGTGTTCCAGTTCCCGCCAATGTCCAGCAATTTCCCAAAGCCATTAAAGAGGAGTGGGACAACATTCCAAAAGCCACAATCAACAGCCTGATCAACTCTATGCGAAGGAGATGTGTCACACTGCATGAGGCAAATAAATGGTGGTCACACCAGATATTGACTGGTTTTCTGATCCACGCCCCTACCTTTTTAAAAAGGTATCTGTGACCAACAGATGCATATCTGTATTCCCAGTCATGTGAAATCCATAGATTAGGGCAGAGTGAATTTTATTTAATTGACTGATTTTAACTGTAACTTGGTAAAATCTTTGAAATTGTAGCATTTTGCGTTTATATTTTTGTTCTGTAAAAATCAGTTTGGATGCAGCCAGGCTAGTACTGCCAATCCTCTGTTGATTTTCCCTGTGTTTGTGTGTCAGATATTGTTTGTAGCAGGCCTAGCCTTTGTTATCGGCTTGGAGCGTACCTTCAAATTCTTCTTCCAGAGACACAAATCTAAAGCCACCAGTTTCTTCCTGGGAGGCGTAGTCGTGGTTCTGATTGGCTGGCCCATCATTGGAGTGGTGCTGGAGATATATGGATTCTTTCTTTTATTCAGGTGAGTTGGTCTGAAATGACAGTTGGTCAAAAATAAATTGGTCAAAAAATGGGCTAATCTCAAGTTTTTTCCTCGATTCCTTGCTTCCTCTCTCCTCAAAATATCAGAGGGAAGTGATGAGAGCATTGGAGGAGAAACAACCTTGTATCTTTTCCTCCAATGCTCTCCCGTTTGCTTCCCTATAACATTTTGCGAAGTAGGGGAAAGGGGGAGGATGTGATGAATCAAGAAAAATCTTTTTGAGATTCACCCTAAATGACAGTCCTCAGATTCTCACCTCTCTGTGCCACTCTCTTCTCTTTTCCAGGGGCTTTTTCCCAGTGGCAGTAGGCTTCATCAGGAGGGTGCCTGTCCTCGGGTCCATACTCAACCTCCCAGGGATTAGTGGAGTAAGTATAAAGTTTCATGTTTATTCGCTGTGTGTAATGTGGCAAAGTTCATAGAATTGTTTTCGTCTCCTTGCTCCTTTTCATCTCTGCCCTGCGTCTCTAGGGGCCAGTTTTCCCAGACACAAATTAAGCTTAGTCCTAGACTAAAAAGGGCTTAAATTGAGATTCTCTATTGAGTTTGCTTTTTAGTCTAGGCTTAATCTGTGTCCAGGAAACCGCCCCTAAATTGTGAAGATTGTGGTATACTGATAATCGAATTATCTCTCTTTTTCAGTTGATGGACAAAGTCAGTGAGAGCAACAATATGGTATAACAGGTAACCTCTTTGGATTGGAAGATATTAAATTGCTTTACTCTATTCATAATAGTTTATAATGGTGACTTTGTTCCCTACTGGTCAACTACTATTGGTCAACATAAGTTAAAGGTCAAAGCTGTGAATCAAAAACGTATTTCTGTTCAAAGAAAAATTATGTTATTTTGGGCAGGTGTATGAATACGACTGGCATCGTAAAGTATATTTTGACAATAAGGAAACGGCCTCATAACCTGGTTGCCATTGATGGACATTGTTACTAAGGGACTACTTTATTTCAAGGCCCAATGGGTGAATTGGGCCCTTTTTGTGTTACTGCCCGTTCCTGATGATGATGATTCACACGTGACTGGACCAACCACTGGAATGGACATCTCTATGGAGGAGTCTGGAATCTGTTACAGATGCCTTCCTTCTAGATTAATAGATATGTTCTAGATTGGAATGTTCTGGAATGTTGTGCCTGTACTGTATGAAGAAAATCGTTTTTTGGTTACCTTGATGATGAAGCGTTTAGAACACAGCTTGTTTTACACCTGGGGCCTGTTCAGGAGGCTGTAGCGTTACAGAACGTTCAGATAGAAATGTATAGTGTAGAACAGATATGATTCTGTCAGAGAATTACATCAGCTCTATTTGTTCCTTATTCTATCTGCAATGTTCAGAATGTTTAGCATCACCGAATACACTCCTGCCTATGAGTGGTATAACTGAGCTGTTGTAGATAAATAGCCCTGTGCGCACAACGGATACAATTGTTTTAGCTGGTCCAGGGCACTGTGTGAGCTGAATTTCCACATTTTAGACTATTCCATTGGTCCTATAGGAAACGATTAGTTACCGGAGTGTAACTCCAGTTCTATGAGTGGAGCGGAGCCCCATAGGGGAGCTCTGCTCCTAGTGGTTTACCCTCTGCCCTAAGGCAGCAACAGCCTGAAACAAAATTATGCACACACCTGCAGCCAATGGGAGCACAGGTGTCCCTATAAGAGGGGATGCCTCCCCTCAATCAGCCTCCCGAGATATTATCTTCAGCGAGACTAGAGAGGGTCGGCAGGGCCTTAAGTCCTATGGGGCTCCGCTCCACTCATAGAACTGGAGTTACACTCCGGTAACTAATCGTTCTATATCGTGGAGCTCCGCCCCATAGGGGAGCTCTGCTCCTAGTGGTTTAAGGCGGAGCGTAGCGCTCCAAAATGTACTCCCTGCCGAGCCTAACACTTCCCATTAAAAAATGAAAAGGTCAAGCCTAGCAATGGCTGCAACCAATTCCCGCAGTACTGCAACTAAGAACCCATACGGGCGTCACAATATACCGCGTCATCGGTTAAAGACCCGCCCCACCTAGTTCAATGGCAATGCCACTGACTAGTGGGCAGATCACCAGAATAGAAGCTATACTAATCTGTACTAGCAGATAGATGTGCCTCAATATCCTGTGAAAACACTACCGACCACTAATGGAATGACACCAAGTGTCACTCTACATTGTGTACACGGTAGACCGCCTCACTCACTCAATGGAATCCCAGAGATTAGTGGGCAGGAACAAAACATAAGTCATACTAAACTGAACAATCAGATAGATGACCTCACATTCTGTCAAGTCAATACATGCCTCTACTGTACTGAACCTGTCAGTCAGGAGTCATGCCACAAGATATGCTTTCCTATCCAAAGCGGACCTGATAGAAACCTGTGTCCATCGTCCTGCTTTTTCTCTCTTCTAGCTCAAGATTCCCCTTCAGCTATGCTGAGTACAAATCGAACCAGAGAGATAGAAAGCCTATCTATCAAAAAACATGTTTTCCTAACCAAAGCGGACCTGATGGAAACCTGTGTCCACAGTCCTGCTTTATCCTCTCTTCCTGGCTCAAAATCTCCTTTCAGCTTTGCTGAGTACAGACCGAGCCAAAGAGTTAGAAAGCCTATCTATCAAAAAACATGTTTTCCTAACCAAAGCGGACCTGATGGAAACCTGTGTCCACAGTCCTGCTTTATCCTCTCTTCCTGGCTCAAAATCTCCTTTCAGCTTTGCTGAGTACAGACCGAGCCAAAGAGTTAGAAAACATATCTATCAAAAATACGTCTTCCTAACCAAAGCGGACCTGATGGAAACCTACGTCCACAGTCCTGCTTTTTTCCTCTCTTTCTTGCTCAAGATCTCCCTTCAGCCATGCTGAGTACAGATCGAGCCAAAGAGTTAGAAGACATATCTAAGAGATAGAAACGGATAAATGGAGACGGTGTCGACCATGACGCTGCTCTACAAATATCCTCTACCCCTGTTCCTCTGAAAAGGGCAGTAGAAACTGCTACTCCACGAGTGGAGTGAGCTCTGATACCCTGAGGCAATTGTCGCCCCGCTGCCTCGTAAGCTGTCTCAATGCCTTCACAAAGCCAATGAGACAATCGCTGTTTTGAAAGTGGTCTACCTAATGCAGCCGCACCGTGACACACAAACAGCTGAGGCGATGACCTAATCGCTGCTGTGCGCTCAACGTAACACGCCAAAGCGCGCACTGGGCACAGACAATGAAGCTTTTCCTCACTCCTCTCCCCATGAGGAGGGGGAGAAAAAGCCCACAACTCCACGGTCTGTGATCTATATGCACTGCTAATAACCTTCGGCACAAACGCCGGGTTAGGACGTAACACCGCTCTGCTCAGATCGCCATTAATGGCAAGGCAGTCGGGTCTCGTCGACAGAGCACACAAATCACTGACACGCTTAGCGGTAGTCAAAGCGAGCAACAGTGCCGTCTTGATAGACAGCATCTTGAGGGGTATTTGATTCAATGGCTCGAACGGCGACTTACATAGCGCTTCGAGTACCAAAGCCAAATCCCACTGGGGCAGCGTGGCTCTAGGCATTGGCCTAAGCCGCCGCGTTCCCAATAAGAAACGTTTCACTAGAGGGTGGCTGAACACATTCGTTCCGCCAAACCCCTCATGACCAGCTGAAATCGCCGCTGCAAACACTCTAATGGTGGAGGGCGATTTCTGCTTATCAAACATAAACTGCAGAAAAGAGAGCACACTCTCAACCTGACAGTTCATGGGGTCCACACCCTGTGTGTCACACCATCGTGAAAAAACATTCCATCTGCTGATATACATCCTAGAAGTGGAACCGGCTCGTGCACCCTGTATGGTTCTGATCACTGCATCAGATAACCCACGGCGCCTCAACCTGTCCCATTCAGGAACCAAGCCTTCAGTGGTTGGCCGATTATGGGCCACTGCCCTATCGAGCCTCCCACCTGGGTCAACGCGTCCCGTCGATGTGGAATTGGCCAAGGTGGCGCAATCAACATCTGACTCATCTCCGCAAACCACGGAGCCCCTGGTCGATCGGGGGCTATCAATATTATTGACAGCCCTCCTGATCTCACCCTGGCTAGCAGTGGGAGAATGCAAGACAGCGGAGGGAATGCATACAGGAGAACTTTCGGCCACGGGTAGTGCGCGAATGCGTCTCTTCCCAGTGGTGGTTCGTCCTGTTCCCTCAGGGAGAACCATAGGGGACATTGCGCGTTCACGCGTGACGCGAATAGATCCACCTCGGCTCTCCCGAACTGTTCCCAAATTTGGAGAACAATGTCCGGATGCAGACACCACTCGTCGTCTCGAGGACCCCCTCTTGACATGAGGTCTGCTCCTACGTTCAAGTAGCCCGGAATGTGTGCTGCTCTCAACGAGCGAAGGTGCTTGTGAGCCCACAGCCACAATTCCTCTGCCGCCCTGTGGAGAGCAGGAGACCTGACTCCCCCCTGGCGATTTATGTGAGCTACTGTGGTCCGGTTGTCTGACCAGACCAGCACATCGCGACCCCGAAGGATAGGCGCGAAGTGGGTCAGAACCAGTCGAACCGTTTCCAACTCCAAGAGGTTTATGTGACGACCTGATTGAGGCCACACACCTCCTATCGCTTGAGTCTGACATGTCCCTCCCCATCCAGTCAGAGAGGCATCTGTAAACACTGGAATGTAGGATGACACCCTTGCCCATCGGGACTCCGTGCGTGAGAACGCTCGGATTCCTCCAATAGTCCAGGTCTGCTCTTAGCGAGAGAGGAACCACCACCAACCGATGACGTTGACGCACTGGGTCTAGTCTTAGTTGGGCGAACCATCGCTGTATTCTGCGCATGTGCAGAAGTCCCAGCGGAACCACAGAGTGGGCTGACGACATGAGACCCAAAAGTGACATGATCGACAGCGCCGTCACTGTGCGATTCGGACGACACTTCCTCAGGGCTAGCAACAATGCTACCCTTCGAGGGTCCGAAATTCGAGCCCTCATCATTACAGTGTCTAGCTGTAGCCCCAGGTAGACAATCTGATGACTGGGCCAGGGCGCGCTCTTTTTCCAATTCACAGCGAACCCCAGACCTGTGAGATGAATCACCGTCTGTGTTGTGTGAGTGAACGCCAGCTCTGCTGACGGGGCGAGAACCAGCAGGTCGTCTAGGTAGGCTAATAGCCGTATCCCTTGACGACGCAACGGTTCTAATGCCGCCTCTACACATTTGGAAAACGTTCGAGGTGCCAGGGCGTACCCGAATGGCATCCTCGTGAACTCGTACGCCACCCCTTGAAAGGCGAACCGCAGAAACTTCCTGTGACGCGATTGTATCGGCACATGGAAGTACGCGTCCTTTAGGTCTATGCTTGTACAAAAATCTCCTTTCTGGACACATTCCAGTAGGCGTTTTGTCGTCAGCATTCGGAAGGGCCGTTTGGTTATGCTCTCGTTGAGAATGCGTAAATCCAAAATCGGCCTCACTCCCCCCGTCTTTTTGGGCACTAGGAAATAAGGCGAATATAGCCCTTTGTTCCTTTGCTCCTGGGGAACTACTGTGACCGCCATCTTCGCCAAAAGTTCCGTAATCTCTGACATCAGAGCGGCCACTTTGTCTGGCGTTTTCATCACCGTCTCCACCACTCCCCTGAACGGGGGTGGGGTCCGATGGAATTGGAGGGCATAACCCTTCT